CGGGGCGTGGTTGACCCTACTGCCGCAGCGCCGCTCACCCCTGCTCCGCATTGCACGCCCGCCTGCCGCCTGCGCGCGCCCTCCCCGCCTGCAGAGGCTGTGCGCACGGTGGACCCCGACAAGGCTGTGGGCAAGCCTCACACGCTGTGGGTGGCCTTTGCCAAGCTGTACGAACGCCACTCAGACCTGCCCAACGCGCGCATCATCTTCGAAAAGGCGGCGCAGGTGGGCGGCAGGGGCGGCTGGAGAGCTTTGAGGGGGGGCCGGGGGCGTGGCTGTGCCGCGTGCTCACGCCGCCGCCTGCCTTGAGCCGCCGCCGTGCACCCTGGCCCTCTTCTTTCTTCCATTCCCCCTCCTTTCCTCTGCCCAGGCGCGGCTCAAGTACGTGGATGACCTGGCGGCGGTGTGGTGCGAGTGGGCGGAGATGGAGCTGCGCCACAAAAACTTCCGCCGCGCGCTGGACGTCATGCGGCGCGCCACGCAGCGCCCCGCCCGCACACGCAGCCGAGAGGTGCGCCCCCGCCGCAGCGGTGCACGGCCCGGCGGTGTGCCGCGCGTGGCGGGGCGGGCGCTGCGCTGGCAGCCGCGTGCCGCCGGCCTCTGCTGCGCCTGCCTGCTGCACCTGCCTGCTGCTTCACCCTGCGCCTGCCCGCGGCCGCCCCCCTGCAGGAGGAGGCTGGCCTGCCTGTGCAGGAGCGGCTGTACCGCAGCCTCAAGCTCTGGTCTTTCTACGTCGACCTGGAGGAGAGGTGAGTGGCCTTCTTGGGAGGCTGGGGCCGGGGGCTGGGGCCGGCTGTGCCCGCTCAGCTCCAGCCTCGGCACGCCCCCTGCCCACCCACCGCCCGCCTGTGTCGCCCCGCCCCTCCTCCACACACACACACACCGCAGCCTGGGCACCCTGGACAGCACCAAGGAGGTGTACGAGGCGATCCTGGACCTGCGCATCGCCACCGCCCAGATTGTGCTCAACTATGCGGCGCTCATGCTGGAGCACAAGTTCTTCGAGGAGGCGTTCAGGTGTGTGGGGGGTGCGCGCTGCGTGCGCTGTGGTCTGTGGCTGGGCGGCTGCGTGGGTGCCTGGGCGGGTGCGCGCGTGTGCAGGGGTGGTGGTGGTGTAAGAGTGGTGGGTGGGCACCGGGAACGGCGAGGAGGTCGCTGTGCGCGACTGGCGCTCCCCGCCACCACGCCTGCTGCTCCGCACCCCCCTCCCACCACGCAGGGTGTACGAGCGCGGCATCTCTCTGTTCAAGTACCCACACGTCAAGGACATCTGGACAGCATACCTCACGCAGGTGTGGGCAGGGGCTCGCACATGGGGCTGGCGGTGGGAGG